TTAAAATTGTTATGACCTGCTGCTTCTAATCTAACAAAAGTGGTGTTTCATTGTTGACTTGATAAAGGTTCGGATTTATTTGAGCAATTACATCGAAAGCGGATTTTGAGATAGCCACCGCATGGTCCAAGAAGCCCAAGGGCTTGCTCTCCTCTACCACGCCATGATGCAACTTTGTAAGCCAGACACACCGAAATATGGTTTTCAAATAAACAATACCATACCTCAACAAGTAGTTCTTAGAGAGGCATTACTTGATGACGAGATTGTACAATGAAGGATTTTAGAGTTGCCACTCTCACACCAGGTATCTTTCGCAACTTTGTGGGGGCACGCAATGTATTTAAGCATGAAGGTGTTCTTAGTCCTACTGTTGATTCATTTCTATGCTTAAAACGCATGCTTTGCAGTTGACACCCTTTTAAGAGAGTGTGCACCTAGACGAGAGTGATTCACCTCAACTCTATGGAATGCCAAAGGAATGAGAGCACGAGGAGTTGCCACAACAGCCCCCAACGACGCTGCTTGTATGGACTGGAGTTAAAATCATCATGACGTATTTTGCAATTGTGCAAAGTGGTCTGGAATTTTGGAGTCATGCGAACGAAAATAATAATCAGCCATATGTGCATAAAGAGGCAATGCGTGTGTGGAGCAGACTTATGATGAGGACAACCCTTATGGTGTGTTGAAATAGTGCATCCAGTGTGGTTAATGCTTTGTGTTGTAAGCTTTTGGCATCAAAACGTGGTTAATTATGCAGAACATTCACAACAATTCATCTCTCACACCATCAAGGTACGCATTTCTACTCTTTTCTTCCATAATTGATGAAAGATAACAACGGCAACCTTGAGGACGAGAACGGTATCAGGGCAAGTGATCCCCAAGTCCAGCTTTCTCCATTAAAGCTAACGCCGTGCTATCTTTTGATAGGATGCAGAAAAAGAAACGGAAGAATGAAAACTACTGTCCATCAATTACGTCGACGAAGTCCTACAGTTACTAAGGCAGTGCAAGAACTTACTGACACATTAGGCGTTTGTGTTTTTTTGGTATCGTTTACTAGCCAAAGATTAATTAATTTCATATCATAACCGAAATCACTCGTATTTCGGGATTAGCAAGATCAAATAGTGCCCCAACCACGCAATATGGTGCTCAGTGGTGTTTTTTTATGCATTAGATGTGCGAGTCCGATGAGACAGGCGTGCAGAAGTTTATTTCCTTCATAAAGACGTGCTTAAAAAGAGGTACCATTTTTCGTAAAAGTAGTAAAACTGGGTTGCAGAATGCCAAAATTAATTCAATTTCTTTGCAGAGATTTACTTTCTCTCCCTCCCGCCTCTATGAAACACAATGCCTTCAAGCATTTCGAGTTCGTTTATTTTCATCAGTAACCAACTTGATTCGGAAATGATTTGCATCCAAGCCATAAAGTGAAGTAATACTGCGTTTCATTCCGGCAACACTTCATCCATCACCCAATGGCGCAAACAAATTATCTTCTGCCTATGGCAGTCGTTGGCTGTCAAATAAACACAAAC